GTTCTCATGACTTCCTCCGTGGTCCAGCACAGGCGGTCCTCTTCAGGGCAGTATGACACTCTTTCCTCCTGCTCATTTCCTGTGAGCCCAGCCTGTCATTGACATGACCCAGGAGGCAGGGACGTAACTAGAAATCACAGGGCCCCATAGCAAAGTTTTATATGGGGCCCCATAGCGGCCGCCTGGGTCGCTATGGTGATTGTTTTGCCACTGGGCGGGGGGCGCATCATTATGCAGGCTGGGCTCACAGTGCTGCAGGAGTGAGCGGCACTCACACATTATTACATACAGTGACGCCTGGAAGAATGGCCACCCACCTCCAGAGGAAGAAGGGGACCCTCCTGTCCAGGGCCGTCCCCGGGCATGGCGTCACCCAGACGCGCCACATCATCACGCACCTGCACGTAGTGACGTCACGGGCGCTTACCTGCCGGCGGCCATCTTGGTGATGGACGCCAAGGGAACATTCACCCGGCAGGATAAGGTATGCCATCGGGGTCCCCTGCTCCCTTTTGCAACTGTCGGGCTCTTTGTCCATGACCGAGTGCCCAACTTTTCAGAGGGGGTGACACCAAAATTGACTGTCAGTCATTTTGGTGTCACCCCCTCCGATGCTGTCATCCGGTGCGGGACACCCCCCTGCCCCCACCTTGTGGCTCCACTGCCCCTGTGATGCCTCTTCAAGGACTGTGGGGAAAAAAAGATTTGTAAAATGTCAGTGAAGGTTCATTCCTCCAGGTCACATGGTATATCTGTAAAACATAAATCAAAGCAACTGGACTTGCTGTATCTTACGTGAAGATGTTTTGCTGGTCATCCGACCAGCTTTCTCAACTCATTCTGAATTCAGTCAGCTGGTGGGATGACCAATGAAACGTCTTAAAAAAGTCCAGTTGCTTTATTTTTTTTTACAGATAAAGGTTTTTTTTTAATATAAACACTTTGGAAAGGGGGGGGGGGAGGGGGGGTCATCTGAAATGCCTAGAGTTCCACTTTAAAGAGACACTGCCACCTTGCCCATGCAGTGTTCCCCTACCGCTTCTTCCTCGGGTGACATTACCCTGTTATCTTCTGCCCTGTGACACTGCCTTGTCCTAGCAGCCAATCACTGGGCCTCAGCACTGTACATGGTAGAGAGAATGATGTTCCCGCTGCCCCTTGTCGATAGAACCGGTGTAGGAGCCAGGAAATGAATATAAGATGGTCGGGAGGGTGGGGCCCCTGTGAAGGGACTCTGTCACTGTTGCTCTGCATGAGCTAGGAGCCAATGTCTCTTTAACATGTTAAATGTATCTAAAGCCAAACTGTTAGGTAGATGTATTGCCTGTCCTGTTGACCCTTATCACTGGGGAAAAAAAACATAAGGGAAAATCCCAAATTTTGAGATGTCACCAGAACAGGAAATGAGAGCAAATCTTCCAATGGGGGCACTTGGTCTAGTGATAGGAAATCTGATCTCCCAAATGGTGAGGCGTCTCGATCAGTTTCCTTCACCTCCTGCCTCACAGACACAACTGGAGAAAATCTCTCCAAAACAGGAGGAAGTTGTCACCGGAATGATTGTTCCCATTGGAAG